AAATGTTGAATTGAATTATGGGTTGTGTTTTTGCGGGTGAGGTTTGATTAGATTTGATTGTGATTTGTTAAGTTTGAGTTAATTGGGTTTATGAAAAATGTGGGTCTTGAGAAAACATCAGATTGAATTTCACTTAGAACATGTTTAGGTAGATCAGCTGAATAATTGGTCAATCAAATAAAGAATGAGAATTACAGTGATAGTAAATATTAAAACTATGGGAAATAAATGATTGATCACAAATACATATTGTTAAAACTTGATATTGTTGTGGATACAAAGTAGAACAGGCTTAATACAACTCTAGATTGGATAAGCTAGAATAAGCTTTTGCTGAAATTCACATATGCACACCAGTGTTCTTATGGTTAATGACGGCGAGAGCAATGATTTTTCCAGGTGGTTATGGTGTGGCCACAGGAGGACCATTGGCCTGGGGACTTTGCTACAACAGGGAAATGAGTCCCATGCAGTCATACTGCGATGACTATTACAAATACACATACCCCTGCACTCCTGGAGCTGAATACTATGGTCGTGGTGCTTTGCCGATCTACTGGTTTGTATTCCCTTTGTTTTTATTTCATAATTAATCCGCCCCCATCATTTGTTTATGTGAATTTCCTTTTATTATTTTTCCAAACTCTCTTTTACCTAATAACTTAACCAGAGGATATCAGTTGTCTTGTGGAGGAATAGAGCTGTCATAAAATGAGATTATTCATTGATATACTCAGAAGTAAATGATAGAGTTGTTTTGTAGGTCCGGCATATTGTCTTCAATTTACATGTCAGTTTTTTGCATAGTCTAGCTATTGCCACTTTCCTCTTTTCCTCAAATTTAGTGTCATACGAGAGTTGTAGATGATATGTTAGTTTATAATGAGCTCGTTGAGTAGACAATGTTTATAAGTTTCTATTGGTGCTGCCATCCAGGAACTACAATTATGGTGCAGCTGGAGAAGCTTTGAAGGTTGATCTGTTGAACCATCCTGAATACATTGAGCAGAATGCTACTCTTGCTTTCCAGGCTGCAATATGGAGGTGGATGACTGCTATCAAGAAGTCACAACCCTCAGCACACGATGCATTTGTTGGCAATTGGAAGCCCACCAAGAATGATACTTTGAGCAAGAGGTTTCCTGGATTTGGCGCTACAATGAATATTCTTTATGGCGATCAACTTTGTGGGCAGGGCGACATTGATCCCATGAACACCATCGTTTCCCATTACCAGTACTACCTTGACCTTATGGGTGTCGGACGAGAGGAGGCAGGGTCCCATGAAGTGCTAACTTGTGCCGAGCAGGTTGCATTTAACCCAACCAAGGCTGCTGTTACTGCATCGTCTTGAGCTCTATAGGGCCTTGGGTTGCCTGCTCTATCACATCCGTCTTCTTCTCTCATCAGCTAAGCAATTTAAAAAGAAAAAAAAAATTAAAAATTAAAACCCATCCGAGGGCAGGACTATCAATAAAAAGATGTCGAAGGTAGATGTTTATATGATTATTTTAATTTTTACGTGTGAAGATGCATATCTGTGGAAGTATATGGTTTGCTGATTGATTTGTTGCCGTACTTTGTTAAATTGCTACGTGAATTTTGATATCCATTCATTTCCAAGGTCGAAGTGTGTGGTTGGTAGTTTGTAATTTGTAATATGTAATATATGAACCATTTTGTCGACTCGTATGTGCATGGACTTTGTGAATTTGTATTTATTTAATAGCCTTTTTATCACAAATGTTTTGAGGTTTGCGAAATTATCACTTTTTGTTCCTAATTATTTTTTGTGACACCAATGGCCCTTAAGTGCATCCATAATGGGCTCTTTAAACGACATTCTTAAACAAATTTTAGGGAGACATTGGAAAAATACAACCCCAATCATGCTTCCTATTCACCTTCTAAAATAGGGAGATCTCTAAGAATTTCTAAATTTGAGGAGAGAGAAAAGACTCCTAGTGGCTCTTTATAATTTAATGGTGCTTTGTTTTATAGGGATGGACCAATCGTATTGAATTAAAAAATAATTATAGTATTTATGACTCCCTAAAACTAAGGAATATGATTGAAGTTCAAATTTTACAGAGAACTCCTAAAATAACTTTTGTGTGTTTTTAGCTAAATTTTAAATAAAAAATAGGGAGCATGATTTTAGATGCTCTAAGGTTACCATCCACACATCAAAATGGTCCCTACCGTTAGTTTCTATCAACTTTTCTGTTAAATTGCTGACTTGGCACATGTGTGGAGCTCACACATTCAATGGTATAGAGCCACGTGACTTTAAATAAAATAAAATATACTTTAATTAAATTTTTTAGGGGAAAAAAAAAACCCACAGAGCAGTTATCCCTAACCAAGGCTTTGCCCTATTTGGATATGGGCTTGAAGATGTAGAGCAGCTCAAAGTTGGACCAGCGCTTGTCTACGACGAGAGCTTGGTCGAGCCTACAATTTCCATTGAGGACGTCGACGACGGCGTAGTTGACGTGGTTCTTATGAGGCCGAGGTTTCAAAGGTCGACGATGGAGAAGCCAAGGCGGGCGAGGGAGAGGCCAACATGATGATGATGTGTTGATTTTGAGTGTGTGTATATATATGGGTATTCATGTGGGAGTATATGTGGATTTATTTATAGGTTGATGTTTCTTGAGCATGTGCATTGAGGGTACTTTGCACATATATGAATATTTGACATGAAGTTCGAATTTGACAATTGACTTATGGTGCTTTGCAACATACTCCTTCAGTAAGGTATGGTTGTGGGAAAAAAGGGATTCTGCTTAATTATGTATGAAAAGGATTAAGGTTGAGAAATGATTTTGAAATGGCTTGAATAAAGGGGTTTTACTTTGAAGGTTTTCAGTTTATTGTTTTACAATGTTCTCCAAGAAATTTAGATTGCATTTAATATATGGTTTTAATTATAGTATGTTGTGATATGAGTCTATTGAATTGAGGTATTTCAAGTTTTGAATGATATATACGTTTACCAAAGAAATCTATTTCATGGTGTTTTGACATTATTTTCTAAAACTAAGGGGGTTATGTGGGTTCAAGTTTCGGTATTTGAAACGGTTTGGATGGTGGTATGGCAATATGTTTGCGATTTAGGTGAGGCAATAAACTTAAATTATGATTTAGATTATAATATCCATTTTAGTTTGAACTGTTCGATGTGCTTTAAATAATTTTGCTGATGATACAAAGTATGTAATCTTTCTTTAGCATTAGGTCATAAGAACTTAGAAAGCATATTTGAACAAATGTTAGAAAAGTTTTAAACTTTCATCGAATGTGTCATTCAAAATACAAAACCGTAAAAAAGAGGCCCATTTTAATTTTCAATTTTGAGTTTTAATTTTTCTAAAATAGAAGAAAATAGAATACTTGTTTGGTAACTAGTTGTGAAAAAAGTGAAAAGTGAAACTAAACAAAAGTTGTTTGGTAACTTTTTTCAGTTTTATGTGGAACTTGAAAATGGAATTTTTCGGAGTCAAATTGTGAATTTGGGATTATAGAATGAAAGTGTATGTCACAAAAGTTCATACTATTTTTTGGTGAATTTTTCCGAATTAGGAGGATTTTTGGTGAATGTTGGATCTTGAGATCACGAGGCTTGGACTGGGTATGTGGCTGAATGCAAGAATTGAGTGGCCGAGTCTAAGTTGGAAGATCCCAAATTCCGAGTTTTGGTAACACGAGTGCATTTCATGCGTGGTGATGTAAAATTAATGAATGAAAATGGAGCGGGGAAAAAAAAAAGAATATTGAAAACACTTTCAAGTTGTTTTAAAAAAATAAGGATGATTTTGAAAACTAAAAAACGAAATATGTTACCAAATATGTGTTTAGCTTTCAGTTTTCGAAAAAGTCAAAATGAAAACTGAAAACTAAAAATGAAATGGTTATCAAACAACCACTAAAAGTAATAAACCTTTTTGGAATGAGGATAACCATTTAAAAATTAATATATATATATATATATATAAAGAAATAAAAACACAAAATTGAGCTGTGGTTGGAACGGCCTAGCATATCCTGCTTTTGAAGCTTTATGTGTGTGTGTGTGTGTCTAGGTAATAGGTACTAATATTTTCCTTCCCAGATACCATTTTATCTTACCAGATTGTTAAGCTTGACCCCATTTTAAAACAAGAGAATCCACCTGATGAGACAATTTGGCAGCATTAACTTGACTATTATGGAAATGAGTAGGGTGTAATGCCATTCTTTAGATGCTACATTCATTATTCATATATGGTTCTCTCTTATAGGTTGGGGATTTGAACTTGATAGACCACGGAAATTTTAAGATCCTCAAATTAAGCCCAAAACATATAGTTATAAGGCGTACAATATCAGCTTTACTTTAGAAGGCCAAAAGAATTAGTATTTATTAGAAACTCAGGGCCCTGGGGGATAAAACAACCATATTATACAGTGAAAAGATAACATTTCTAGTAAGGAATACTCTCCTTTTTTTTTTTCTTTTTTTTTTTTTGGGAATTTTTCATCTCCCTTTTAGAGCTAGAATGTTTGTCCATATCCTAAGGGAGGATGCTTTTTAAGCTCCTCTACTCTTGAAAAATTTCTCTATTGCACCTTTGATTTGTGAATTATGTTGAATGTGAGCCTTCAAATCATGATTCATTCAGGGTAAAAGCATGGAACCACTTTTAGCAGATATACAGAATCCCCTGATTTCTCTATTCCATCCTATTATAAAATCAGCCTTTCGAGGGATGAAATATAATCCCACCCTTCGTCATAATCCTGAGGAACTAGATAGCTTCATCTTTGACTTAGGGTCAAAGGAATCTCATATATCACAAAGAACAGGAATATATAGTACCTGAAAATACTTTAAGAGGATTGGACCAAGTATCCTACACTCATATTTGTTGAAGAATGTAAAAAAGTTTCACATCGGAACTTCAATAATATAAAATACAATATATGCTGAGTGGTTCCACTGCTAAAATTTTATCGACCCTTTTTGCGATAAAACTCCACACTTAAGTTGAGGCCTTTTGTGTATTCCTTACTTTTGCCAGTATTGGTGCCATGATCTCTATCTTGGTATCATTGAATATGACCCTCATGTAAGTTCTTCTAATGAGGTTTCTTCAAATGCGATCAATTGATACGATCCACCAGAGGACCAAAAATCAATGCAATTCTTCATACCAATTCAATAGTATCCAGAAACACACTTAGGTTAGGTGGCGCAATTTGCGAGCCACTTGTGGTTTCTCAAATGACTTTAAAATTGCAAGTTTCCTTCCATTTCCTCCTAGAAGACCTAACAAATAGTACACTTTTTGAACTTTATAATCCTTGTCTGGTTGATAGAATGGTAGCAACAAAATCATCCATTGCCTTAACAAAAGATCCCTTGTCTTCAGCCTCCTCTCTTATTGCTGCTCTTATCTGCTCCTTAATTTCACAAGCCTTTTCCCTCATTTCTCCTCCTTTGCCACTTTTGTCCATTACCAAATCTATCAGTCTCTTCACCTCCTTCCGAGCAATATCACTCTGCCCTCCCCTTGTCAGCTCCACACTCACACCCATCTCCTCCACCAACATCTTTGAATTAAATGCCTGCTCTGCTCCCAATGGCCACCCTATAATTGGCACGCCCTGGCTTAAGCTCTCCATCACTGAATTCCATCCACAATGGCTAACAAACACACTTGTGGACTTGTGCGACAAAATCTCCAACTGCGGTGCCCAGTTGTGCACCAACAAACCTTGTTTTCTTTTGCTCATTCGATCTTCGAATCCTTGGGGCAACCACTCTACCCTGAACTCTCCCTTCATGTCATATCCCAAAGGAGGTCTTATGACCCAAATAAAAGGCCTTCCACTTTCTTCTAAAGCAATAGCCAGCTCCATCATTTGGGTGGCGCTGATAGTGTTCTGGGAACCAAATGAGATGTAGATAACAGAATCCGAACCATGCGAATCGAGCCATTTAAGGCATGTTTCCGCAGGTATGCCCAACTCTTTTCCTGCACGTTGCCTTGAAACACTTGAATCCAAAGTCGATGAGTTCTTTAGTGCATCTGTAGGAAGAAGAGGTCCAACAGACCAAACAGGAAGCCTCAAGTAATTCCTCAAGATCTCCAATCCACAGGGCTCAATTGCCTCAACAGTACTACACAGCCAACCAAAAGATTTCGTAGAAAGTGAAATCTGGGGCTGAAAAATTCTAGAGCCAGAATCTTTACCATCTGCAGCTTTTAAATATGGATTCAACTGAGAGATATGAAAACGATAACTCTCTGGAAACCCTGGCACTGGGAACTCATCTGAAGCTGTACAACGGTGTGGGAGGCTAAGCCAAATAGACACCAAGGCTGCAGAGCCGTAGGCACCACCTGTAGTGAAAGTCACATGCACAGTGCTTAAGTTGTTTGCAAGATTAGCTGCCCATCCAAAATACATATCAGAGACAATACAAAGGGGCGGCCGGCCTTCTTTTGCGATGATATCCAAGATTAGGCGGTGAGCAGGAGCTTCAAGACTTGTTGATGCAGCAACAAGATCTCCTATTTTGCTTAGAGACAAGTCCTCCGTGTTCTCGGCGTTCGGGGGCAAGCCATAGTCTGTACTGCAGAATGAAAGCTCAGCCAAATGGATGTTGGAGTCTGATTGAGAGTTTGAGGTTGAGGCAATGGTTGCACTGAGGTATTGGATGTTGAGGGTGGTGCTGGCAATGGTGATTGTGAATCCTGTTCTTTGTTGGATTTTCCTTGCCAGTGCAAGGAATGGTATGAGATGGCCTTGAGCCATAAATGGCAGCATCACAATGTGCTCTTGGCCTTCCATCCCTGATTTTCCTTTTCGTTTTTGGGATAATTTTTTTTATGGTACCTTCGAATTTGACTGAAAATTATATGAGGTTGGTATTTCTGGAGCTTGGAACGATGGTGACGAATATATAAGAATATATGGCGGCCGGCTTAAAATTTTAATACGATTATATTTGTTGTATTACTGGATGTAGGTTCAATAATGCAATTGTTTATTAGATGCTTGCGTGGTCCATGGCATTATTGGTTCCTACTCACCACTAATTCCCAATGCGAAGACTACACGAGATTGACTAATAAATTCCCTTTTTTATTTTTATAATCTTTTTTAATCAAAGGAAAAATCTTCATTAATTTCAGTAACAGTCAATATGACATGCAAAAGGACAACCAGAAAAACTGGAGAAAGGAGGTGCACCTAGGGTGGCCTCATTAAAACCTTGCCATGAAAACCTCCAATGGAGGACAATCCGGTCAAGGAAAAAGAGTACCACGCAACTCCTGCAAAAGACTAAATTTCTTCTCTATTCCTCGCAAGCGTAGGCCATAACCAATGTGGAGCCAACCCAGCCCAAAACAATCGCCGTTGCCATAAGCCAAATTGAGTCAAAAGGTGCGCCGCTGTATTCCCTTTGCGAGGCTGATAAAACACTTCTCGTATTTGTAAAAGTCAAACAATATGGGTAGAATATTTTCAGGTTGTATTTCATTCTCCAAAAGAAGGTATTTATAGTATAAGGATGTAACCCTAGTATGATTAACTACTAGGAAATAAGATAAAAATCTAATTACACAATATCTGTACAAAGAGGAAAGAAATATAATCCTAATAAACTAGGAAATAGATATCCTAATTAAGCTAGGATATCGCTAACATTCCCCCTCAAGTTGGAGTAAAGATGTCACGCATGCTCAACTTGTCAAGCGAGTTGAGAAAGACCGTAGTAGACACAGCTTTCGTAAGAACATCTGCCAGTTGATATTCGGATGATATAAATGGAAAATAAATAATTTCAGCATCTAACTTCTTTTTAACAAAATGTCGATCAGCCTCCACGTGCTTTGTACGATCATGTTGCATAGGGTTATGTGCAATTGCAATTGCAGCTTTATTATCACAATACAAATCCATGGGTTTCTGGGGTCCAAACCCAAGATCTCTCAACAATCTTCTCAACCATAGTAACTCGCACACACCTTGAGCCATCCCACGGTACTCGGCCTCGGCACTAGACCTAGACACCACTTTTTGCCTTTTACTCCTGTAAGTAACAAGACTACCACAACAAATGTGAAATACCCAGACGTAGAACGTCTATCAGTGACTGAACCAGCTCAATTAGCATCCGTATACCCTTCCACATATGTATGACCATACTTGCAAAACATTAACCCCTTTCCAGGAGTTACTTTCAAATACCTCAAGATGCGCATCACAACAGCCATATGATCTTCACTAGGAGAATGCATAAACTGACTCACTACACTCACTGCATATGCAATATCAGGACGTGTATGAGATAAATAAATCAATTTCCCCACAAGTCGTTGATAACGCTCTTTATCTGTAGGGACTTGATCATGATACAACCCCAACTTATGATTCTGTTCACTAGGGGTATTAATTGGTTTACAATCTAACATTCCAGTCTCTGCAAGTAAATTCAAAATATATTTTCTTTCAGACAGAAAGATACCATGTTTAGATCTGGCAACTTCAATCCCAAGAAGGTACTTCAAATCACCCAATCACTTCATCTCAAACTCGGAAGCCAGATACTTATGAAGATTTTGCATTTATGCCTGATCATCTCCAGTCACAATCATATCATCAACATAAATAATTAAAGCTGTCAATTTACCTTTATGACGCTTTAGAAACAAAGTATGGTCTGAATTACTCTGCACATATCCAAATTTCTTCATAGATACTGCAAATCTCCTAAAATACGCTCTTGGAGACTGCTTCAATCCATATAAAGACTTCCGCAACTTACACACAACACCCTCCTTAGAGGTTATAGGAATACCAAGAGGGAGATCCGTGTAAATCTCTTCCTTAAGGTCACCATGTAGAAATGCATTTTTGACATCGAATTGTAATAAGGGCCAGTCGCGGTTAGCAGCCAGGGACAATAGTACAAGCACAATATTGAGCTTTGCCACTGGAGCAAAAGTCTCCAAATAATCCATTCCATAGGTTTGAGTCTAACCTTTTGCTATCAATCTAGCCTTGTAACGATCAATGGAACCATCAGCTTTATGCTTCAAAGTAAACACCCATCTGCATCCAACAACTTTCTTCCCTCGTGGCAAAGGAACTAAATCCCATGTTTTATTCTTGTTCAAGGCATCCATTTCAACATTCATGACATCCATCCATTTTGGGTTAGATAAAGCATCCTGCAGCTTAGTTGGCACACATACACTAGATAATTGACACAAATATAATGCATATGACTTAGACAAACGATGAGTTGAAACAAAATGGCTAATGAGATATTTAGACTTGGCATGTATATCAGGAGAATATTGTATTTTAAGTTTCCCACGAGTGGTTCGTGGGGGTAATTGATAAGTTGACACAGATAGATCATTAGAAATTACCTCACTTGATTCACTATCATGAGTAGATTGGGGCACTGGCAGGGCAGATGGGGGGATTGCATCGAACTCATCTATACAAGAATCACTATCATTATTTTCAGATATACGCAACTGGTCACTTGCTTCAGTGTGACCGGTCGTTTCGACACCGCTAGCACCTACTTCATCTCCAGATATGAGCGATTGATCGAGTTCCAAAGGGCGATCAGTAGTTTCTTCATAGGGACCACAAGTTTCATCTTCAGATATGGGTGACCAGTCACTTGCTTCAGTGCTACATGTCGTTTCCTTTTAGAGAGTAGTATCTTCAAACACATCATTCTCCAATCCAAGACTCTCCAATTCACTCCCCCTCTCCCCCTGAATTGGAGAGGAGGGAGAGACATAATATGACACTTCTTCATGGAAAGTCACGTCCAAAGTAAAATGCACCTTCTGGGTAGGTGGATGATAGCACTTATAGCCCTTCTGAGTAGAAGAGTAACCAATAAAGACACATCGCAGAGCACAAGGATCAAGTTTACTCCGTTGATGAGAGTAGACATGAACATAGGCAACACACCCAAAAACTTTAGGAGGCAACTTGGAGACTGAGACAGGGGAAACATGGTTACCAAACACATCATATGGAGTCTTGAAATTAAGAACCCGGCTAGGAGTACGATTAATCAAATATGTAGCAGATAAAATAGTATGCCCCCAAAGATGATGGGGAACAGACATGTCCAACATAAGGGAGCGGGCAACTTCAAGTAACTGACGATTCTTGCATTCAGACACACCATTCTGCTGAGGAGTAAATGAGGTTGTCGTTTGGTGAATAATACCTTGAGCACAGAAGAAAGAAGCCAGAGTGTTATTCACATATTCGCCTCCGTTATCAGTTCAGAATTCTTTGACCCGAGCATGAAACTGAGTAGACACCATAGTACAAAACTCTGGAAGGATGAAAGCAACATCATGTTTATTTTTCAGCAAGAAAATCCAAGTGAGTCGAGTACAATCATCAATAAATGTGACGAACCAATGAAATCCGTTAGAAGTAACGCGAGCTGGACCCCACACATCAGAATGCACTAAATCAAAAGGCTTTGCAGCTTTACTGTCACTCAAAGGAAACACAGTGCGATGACTCTTTGGCCAAAATACATGTCTCATACTTAAAATTGGACTTATCACAAGAGCGGAATAAAGATGGAAACAGACGCTTAAGGTAGCCAAATGAAGGGTGTCCCAAGCGACGATGCCATAACCAAATTTGTTGTTTGTCTTTGACATGATCACGAACTGGTGCAGAAGGCAATGTCAAATAATATACCCTCTATCCATTTACCATGCCCAATCGTCTCGTGAGTCTTGAGATCCTGAAAAGAGCAATACGTAGGATAGAAAGTAGCAGAAGCATTAAGTATATCAAGTAGTCGACCAACAGATAACAAGTTACAATGGATATTAGGAACTAGTAACGCACTAAACAAGGACAGAGTAGGAGTGAGAGAGATTTTGCCCTCACCAGTAATTGGAGAGGGCAAGCCATTAACACTAGTTATGTATGGGTCACGGGTGTTGCTAGACCACTCATCAAAAAATTTAGCATCATACGTCATATGATCAGATGCACCAGTGTCAATTATCCAAGTATTGGAGCCAGTACCTGGAATATAATCAGAAAAACATAAATTTGTAATGGCAGCAGCAACATCACCAACAATGGAGTTAGCATCCATGATTGCAGCAAAAATTCAACAGATCACGTCAGAGTATACAGCGAAACACAACAAAAGCACAAATATGGCAAATGCACGAAGACAGACACGAACACAATAGAGTACACAGCGGAACACAGCAAAAGCACAAATACGGCAGATGCACGAAGACAAGAATGACATGAACACAGTAGGTGCCCGAACACTACAACACGGCACACAAACCCAGGAGGGCACACACGACATAGGTAGAGAAAAAAAAAGGGGGATAGAACACAGGTAGGCACAACACACAGGTCACCAGAAAAGTTGGCTTTGATGCCAAGTCAAACAATATGGGTAGAATATTTTTAGGTTGTATTTCATTCTCTAAAAGAAGGTATTTATAGTACAAGGATGTAACCCTAGTAGGGTCAAACTGGGAAACAAGATAAAAACCTAATTACACAATATCTGTACAAAAAAGAAAGAAATATAATCCTAATAAACTAGGAAATAAATATCCTAATTAAGCTAGGATCTCGCTAACAGTAAATACACTAATAGATTCCTCACATCCTCAACTAGATTGCCTAGATTATTCCAACATTCGCCAAAACCCTTAACAAGCATCACAGCCTTTTGAGAATCAGTAGCCATATGAAAATTTTGGTAACCTCTCTATAAAGCCATCAACAACCCTTCCTGCATTGCCGCGAGTTCAGTTCCTAGAACATCAAGTCCAGCCGGTCCATCACAAGCAAAACAGCAAAGAAACTCACTATCTTGATT